GCACTCTAGGGCTCAGCTCTACGGCGTGCAGTTCTGAAAGAGGTGTCCTTTGGTCCACTTTTAAAGAGTTTTTAGAAGGAAACAGTAACATTTACCTAACACTTATGATGGGCCAGATGTTGTGTAAAGTAAATTTCATTACTTTCCCATCTTGCAGATATAAAAATGGAGGCTGAGAGCCTAGCAAGCTGGAGAACGGAGAAGCCAGGCTCACATCCCAGCTTTCTGACTCCCACCTTCTGGATGGTTCCACAGGGCAGCCCCTGACAGGCCGTCCGCGTCGGCAGCACCTCTGCCTGGGTTCTATACACAGAAACAGTGAAAAGCACTGATATTTACCTTCGATTTAATGGCCTCTAATCAGCGGCCATTTCCACTTCTCTACTGTCCCTCCTTCTTCTGCCTTCCAGTGCCCTTGTCACAGCTCTAGTTCAGTCTCCTGTGACTTGTTCCCTAGACCGCTGCAGGTGTGTCTCCCAGACCCTTCACCTGCACCTGGAGGACCCTCCACTGTGAAGTTCCTTACTGACTCGCCACTGGCTGCTGGAAGAAGTCTAAGTGTCCAGGCCCTTTATCACCTCTCTAGTCTTCCTGCTGCTGTGCTGTCCTTCACATCAACGCACCACCAGGTCCCTCTCGGCAACTTCACATCTGTGGTCTTCTGCTCTTTCAGTTTACTTTGTGACTCCTTCATTGCCCCCAGTAGCCAGCTCAAATGTCCCCACTTTGAACGATATTTTTAATAGTCCTCCAAGAACTAATTCTCCCTCTCTACAGCTGTCTTCTATGCTGTTTAGAAAATTCTGATATAGCACCTATGATATTTAAGGACACTGTAATTTACTTATTCTCCCTTTGTAAATATAAAGAAAGTATATGTCCTTGTCTCTTGACTTTCAACTCTTTGGAAACACAGTTGGTGCCATAAATGTCTTTGGTTTGTGCCTAGCGGAGAACTTGTACATTAAGCTTTAATAAATGTTCACTAGAATATTTAATTAACTTTCTCAAAAGACTTTACAAAGACAAACAATTCATAACATCTCAGAGAAAATGCTTTTCTGGTGTGGTAAAACAAAACAAAAGCAATAGCGACACTATTGTGTACTTGGTATTTTAAAATTTAGTCTCTTTCAATTTGCTGTGGGTAAAAGAAGAGAAGATAAAAGGAGATGGGCTTGGAGGAAGGTTTGTAAAGAAAAGAGGATAAACTCAAGAGGACCAAGTTTCCAAAGATGGGGAGAGAGAAAGTTTCTTCACAAGGAAAACAAAGAGAAGAAAATCAGATGTGACAACCATGTTTAATTTAACATAAGGGTTATGCCACAAAAAAGTAATTATTTCATTTTTGGTCATTTCTGCTGTACAACAAAGTTATCAGTTGTTAATATCCATGTGGAAAATCTAAGGAAGTAATTGGGAAGGATGAGTGGTTGTATGTTGAAGGACCAAGAGGAAGAGAAAACAATGGAATTAGTGAAATCATCTTAAAAGTAATTTTGGAATGTTCCAGGATATCAAGATTGTCTGGAGATTTCCCACCTACCCACACCCAGGTAGGAATTTAAAAGTAAAATGAAAAATCTTTCAATGATGGTTCCAGTCCCTTACTCTTCTGATCCAATCACCAATTTAATTTGCAGGGCGTGGCTGTAATCCCAGCACTCGGGAGGCTGAAGCAGCAGGATTGCCACAGGTTCAAGGCCACCCTGAACTACATAATGAGACCCAGTCTCAAAAAATGAAACAAAACAAAACATTTAGTTAATTTACTAATTATTTACTTTGAGGGAAACTCTAACATTTGCATTGCTTTTTAGACTTTCATTTTCTGCATCTGGCTTTCGTGAAATATTCCACAAATACACTACAATTGACTTAATTAATTGTATTTTATGACTTTGGGTCAGAACGCCAGAATTTCTGTGCCAATTTTATTGTGCTCATTGAAACCTCGAGAGTATATTTCAGATATTGGCTTTCAGACCTTTCTTTTGAATACGTTGCTATTTACTTAGTATGTGCCAAAGCCACCATGTCAGTGTAATTGAAAACAAGCAAGAAGGAAGCTGGATGGCTCAGATGAATGGAAATGTGATACAGACCCTTCCACCCACAACCCGCTGGCTGGGATCCAGGAGAGGCTGATGGGGACTAAAAGTAATTACCATCTGATGGCTGGACAATGGTCCGTGCGAAATGAGCTGGTTATCTCTAGTCCAGTTCCTCATGGACAGGTGTTCATATTGCAGTTTCTGCCTTCAGTGACAGCAGCCCAGGAACTGAATGAGTCAGGGAGACCAGAGGTACCTTCTCTTTTATTTGAGATTGATGCCCGTTTCTGATACAAGGAAACTTGGGCTTCTACCCTGAACTTTGCAGTAGGTAAGCAGAGAATGTGACTGTGAATGTTTCTATTTTTTATATTCCATGAGTTCTAAAATAATATGTAAAACAAGGATAGTGGTTGGGCATTTTTGTTTTCTGTTTAATTAAAGTTCATGTGATCTTACCAAGGAAAAAGGCAATATTAGAAAAATGAGAGCAATACAAATGTTTTGAACACTATAATAATTTGCCCTAAACCCTTAAAAATTCCAGACTAGCCTTAAAAAACCACTGAAGAATAATAATGAGAACTCATTTCCCACATCTGTTGTAAAAATCATAGGAAATAACCAAAATCAGTATCAATAGTATTATCCATTCTACCAAAGCTGAAGATTATTTCCCCTATTCATTTAGCAAAAGATTTTTCCAAACTTTATAAATACTGTTATGTCTCTCCAATGCATTACCTCACAGGTCTCTTCTGAAAGGTATCCAAATTCTACATTAAGGCACTTGTGGGAAAAGTAGAAAAAATAAATGATTTACTTTAAATGGGATTTGGAAAGGGTATGATTACGGTCTGAAATGTATCGCACTGACATAGTAAAACTGAACTTCCTAATGGATTCTTAAATTTTGAGTAAGCACTAAGTCCATTTATTGAACTCCTTTCTGTATGTCTAAAAGTTACAATAAATACATGTATTTTTTCCCTGATGGACTTTCTGTACTGAAGGACGTCATGCATTAGTTGTCCAGGCTGTACTCAAAAACTGCTGCAAATGCATAGCTGGATACCCAACCTGAGTGTTAGGAGGCTCAAAATATTTTTTCTGAACTAACAATTAAGCATGTGAACAAAGAGAGAGCAATGCTTGGCAACTTAAAAGAAAAATGGCTAAAATCCACAAAGTAAAACGTCCTTACAGATGGACGCAGCCTCAGCCCATGACATTTTCATGCAATCAGGTAACCAGAGCTGCGCCGTGTACAGAAACACAGGCGATCTTATACTCTGCTGGTGCCAGGAAGACAAATACACAGAAGAACACACAATGGCCAAATTCAAACATGAATAGAGAGCTGGATTTCCATTGTTTGCTCACAATACCTCCTGGGTGGAAGGAAGGAAACAGGCTGTATTGCCTAATAACTCTAAATGCCCCCGAGAAAGAAAAACAGACAGATTCCCATTTTGGTGGTGCACTAGTTCGTGTGGCCAGCAGTTCCTGGTGATGTTTGTCAAGGGCTATTTTGCAGACTCCGCTCAAAGTCTGAAGCCATAAACCATCCACGTAGTCAGTGAGTCTGTCTAGCTGTGAGGTGTCCAAGGGTATGATTTATAATCTCCACCAAGGAGACATCTGCATGGGAAAGTTTGCTAATAAACTACGGATGAGAGAGACCAAGGATGGAAGAATAGTGACAAGCTATTGTTTCTCCACTTGGTTAGTTAAACATAAAAATGTATTTTGAGCTTGTAAAAGTTATGTTCGTGCTCTTGGCATACATTCTAATGGGGATAAATTTACTCTTTGGCATTTGGTCAATAAGAGCAATAAAATCAGAGCTTTAAGATAGAGGAGGGTAGAAGTCGTGTAACCTAAAAGCAAACAGACATTCAGGTAACAGCTGACTGATACTATGAAAGCAAAATGCTGTCACAGAAGGCTTCTCCCTGGACTCTACGACAAACTGAAACAAGACCATATATGAAGGTAACAGTTGCAAATTTTTTTATCTTCCAGTGTAATGGACAGTCTTATTTTTACTTAGTAAAGTAATTGGCCTTCAAAGAATAACACCAACTCTAACTCTCATAGTTTTTCCTTGGAATTTTCCAACTGCGCTTTGCTCTCAATGCCTTTGCTTGGCAGGCAGAGGAACTAAGTTGGTTTCAGGGTCTCTATAAAGTTTTATTGCTTTAGAGGACAAGCTGCTATGTGCAGCATAAACAGGAGTGCTAATCTTTTTCTGCCTCATCATTAAATTAGCCATCTGAGAAGAGGAACTGGTAGTTAATACTGTCTAGACATTCATTCAAGCACATAATTTTGAGTGAATTAAGTGTCGAATAATGTGGTAGGTACACATGCAATATATATAAGACACAGACAAGATATGTAATGCTTGCATCCATAAAATATGTTTAGAGCTTTCCTAGAATCATTGTTTAGTTTTTAATAATAACTTTTTAAAAAGTAGAAAGAAAGAAGCAGAAGATTCTTGACTCTCTACCGTGAGGTAGCTCTTTCTAGTAATGAGTTCTGAATTCTCTTTTTTAACAACTGATATAGGCTTTGGTTTGTTAATTGTATGATATTTCATTCAACCCTTAAATCAGACATAAGAATAATACCTCTCATACTGTTCTGTAATGAGTCATTTGAAAAATCATTAATGTCATTTGCAGACTTTGTTTCCTAATTAAATCTTAAGCAACTGAATTTTGTAAATGTTCAAGTGCTCTTTGGGGATCATTTATATCAATGTTTTGAGCTATGTATGCACATGAAATGCTGATATTAAGATAATGGTGACAGGTAAGCCATCAGAATGTCTTATGTGCATGTGTGTGTATACACAGGAGATTGATTTATGGGCACTAAAAGAAACACCATTAATTTGATAGTAGACCCTAGAAAAATCAATTGGCTCTATTGTTTCACCTGTTAAAAGAATTCTGTTTGATTTGTCCACTTTCTTCTATCATTTCCATCTTCATAAGAAAATCCTTTTTTTCTAAAAAAAAAAAAAAAACAAAAAACAAAAAACTGCTTTGAGCTTGATAGTTTAAATGGGAAAAAATGAGTGACTCACTGCCCTGATCACTTTTTGGCAAAACTCAAATTGAGCTCTTCTGAGGAAAGACATTGCATTATTTTCAAAATGAGTAAGAGTCTTGCATCTTTCATTTAAATTAGCTATCTTTTATCTATGGCCTCAAAAATACCTTACCTTCCTCCCACACCCACATTCACCTACTACTTTTCCAGTTTAAATTCAGTGTCTTCAATTTAGGAACATTTATAAAAATTGTAAGACATCCTACAATGAAAGAAACTAAGAAATTCCCATTTTATCATCTTGCATAAGTCCTAAGTAGGAAGCACTAACTTCAATCCTACCTTGAAAACTTGGAGTCCCTCCTCGTGAAGCAGCCTTCAGAATTTCTGCACAGTTGAGACGGATGCATTATTTTGACGATATCTTACAATTTTAGACAAATCTACCACATTGCTCTAAAATAAAGAAAATAAGTAAAAAACAATAACCTTACACAAGCTGAAAAAAAAAAAAACCCACTGAATTATGCCTGATATTTCAAATCCTTCCCAACTCTGCTTATGCCTGTCTTAGAAAAATGATGCCCGTGGCTATATAAATAGTTAGGCATAGGTCTTCCACGAATCAACACCTTTTTGATGTAATCAAAAGAGGAAGCACAGAAATGTTTATCAAAAGGCACTGAACGTTTTATAACCTCACAAAAACGGAGGTCTAGTTCTAGTTGGAAATAGAAATTATAGCGGTACAGATTCCATATGCTTTACAAGATGTCCAATGTTTTTCAGGTTGATCTGTGAACCAGATTCTCGCTCCTCAAGCTATTTTGTCATCTTTATTTACTGTCTACTTGACCCCCTCCACCTTTTCCTAAGTGAGGAGGAGTGGGCTGGCTTCAATCCCCAGGATCTGCTTGTCGAGGCGAAGAATCTAGGGGCTGGCAGTAGACGGCGGGCTGGGGCCTGTAAAGGCAGGGATGCGGCAGCTACGATAGGTGTCAAAGGGCAATTCGTTTTCTAGATAACTTTAGGTGCACAGAAGCAGCACGTGGCTGGGGCTGGTCTTCGTGGATGAGAAGTGGAAGTGGGGCTTCAGAGGGTGCCTGAATTATTCTCGAGTGCAGACAGCTACGAATGGACCTCCAAGTGGGGAAACAAGGGACCCCAGGAGCAAACGGGAGCTCTCCCTCCCTGGCACCACCAAGAGCACGTAGGTCACCTTCAGCAACACTGACTAAATTACTGCAGGGCTCTGGTCTGAAATTTGCCTTATGACCCATTCATTGTATTTACCTTCACCGGCTCCTGCAGTCCTCTCCGCGTTTCCCTTTTCCCTACCCAGCCCCTCCTGGAGGAAACCCGCGGAGGATAAGCATCTAGCCTGGCATTCATAAACTCTTTTTCTATTGGTGCCAATCTTGAAAAGCGAGAGTCAGAAACGGCTCGGTGAGAACCCGGCACTGTCCCAAGGAGAGATGAGGGAGAGGGAGGGGAGGGAAGCCAGATGACACACGCAGCTCAGATGTCTCCCGTTTTCCACGTCAGGAGGGAGCCTGTGGTGAGGAGCTCAGAAGGGCTGATACTGTGATTAGGAAGAAAACAACAGACAATACTTCCTCTATGAAGGCAGCTTAGTTCTTTGGTGCAATTCAAAAAGCAATCAAACAAGTGACTCTACAGTGGAATTTCTCCACCTCTCAGGTTGTCTGGCCAGATTCAAGGGCCAGCGGGCTGCGGCAAACAGCACAGCTCCACAATCAGAGGCTGTAATGGGGTTAAATAAAGACATACCAGAGGCCAGAAAAAACAATAAGCAATGTAATCACGTTGTTCATCAAAAGATTACATAGAAAAACAGGAAATGATTAAAGACAATATCACTAAAGGACATCCCTCCGACGCTGTGCCTTATAAAAAGCACAGTCATCCTTAAAGGTTATAAAGTTTACAATGATGATGATTTACTATAAAGCAGTATATAGCTCTACCTATACCACCATGAAGTTGTTGACAAGCCACAAATCTCTATGAACTAACAACTTTCCATGGGTGGTCTCTTGGGTTCCCATCCTTAAGGCCACAAAGGCAGCTGCTTCCCTGAGAAACAGAGTTTTGAAAGCCAACTAGGTAGCGCTGCAACACTCTACTGGCCCCTCTGGTTACCCTTCTCGTTGTGTACCTGCCACATTCTCCAGGAGGAACATAGATGGAGAAAAATGGAACCAGGAACACTAAACTAATCATGTCTGATCTGAAAAATTGGGACTGTTTTTATACCCTATGTAACTAAGCCTTTGGGGAAATTTAAAAGTTTACCAACTAGTAAGAAGTTAGGAAACCTTAGCGATAACAAAGGGGTTCGTTTAAAAATTGGTCTTTGATTTGGGTCTTTGAGACAATAATTTTGTAGTATTTAAGCTTTTCAATGGTAAGGTGGTTTCCCCTTACTTCGATGGAGCTATACACAGCAGAATTGTATTAAAGCTTCAGCTGGTGCTCGGAATGGTTTCGCCTTGCCACATGTGAGTGAGCTTGAGGCCCCTCTCTTCGTGTTGTGCAGGAGACTTCTCTGTTTGCTCCTCTAGCGTTCAACCAGGCTTCACATGGAAAATAAAAACCATGCCTTATATTCAGGCACTGAGGCCATGCATCCTGCCTGAGCCTTTGTGCTCATGCGTATGTGATAATGACTCCTAAAAAACAGACAACTCACCTACAAATGTTTAAGGACCACCTGAAGCACAGCTCCAAGTCACAGGCAGGATGATAACGCACCAGCGTCATGGGCAATTGAGATGGGTGACTGGGCTCTCACCTGGGCTTTCCATTTGGAGGACATTTACACGTCAGAAGATTAGCGCAGTGTCTGCAAATGACATTGCCTTCTGTGGCTTAGTGCATTCATAAGCCACAGGTAATTGAACGTTCTTTTACTGAACAGGTATCTTTCTAGATTGTATTAAGCAATAATTTGTTCCGGTATTGTTTCCTCAAAGCAATTGCTTCCTGTGGCAACTGTATTGTACTGCGAGGCATTCGGAACAGAATGCAGGGGTAAGCACAATTTGGGGACACTATGGGAAAAGACCGAGAATGGAATTCAGAACACAAAGGGACAGGAAGCCATACATCATCGCACAAAGTAACATTATGACGTGGTGGCCTTAGAAGGGACCTCCACAGTGCTGTAAGCTGTAGCCAAAAATACAGCAAGAGCTTGAACTTAGAAATTGACTCCGAGCCTGCCTTGAATGGCCCCTGGACACCTTGGCCTTTGTTTATGTCAGTCTTTGTTTTGCTCGGACAGTACCAGGAACCTCACATTTTCCTATTCTGAGTATATTTCTGTATTCATTGTCCTCGCGATGCCGTTACAGCTACTAGTTGACAACTTGGCCTCATGGATAAATGATTCTCTATTGACTATCTTCCTTGTCTTTTTCTCTGCTTATTAAGTTGAATTCAATTCTATTGTTTTTCTGGCCAACTCCGTACAAAACGACCCCCTTTAGAAACTACAAGAGAACTGAATGAACTTGGTCTAGGCAACTAGGCTGACTTTGGTGGTGAGCAGGAATATTCCATAGGACAGGAGTCACACTGATTTGGTTGAGACAGAGTTCCTGGGTCCCGTCCCAGCTCTTCTGAAAGCTTGCTGTGTGACTTTTAGGTAAGTCATAACCTTTCTGTTTTTAGTTTCCTGAAAAGTGGTGATAAAGCTGCAATGCTTTTCATCCTTCTACCTCTGAGGAATTGTGTGAAGGTTAATTAATTGTCAAGACTGCTGCATATGGGGTGTGTTAAGGAAATGTCAAAAAATGGGACAAACTAGGCAAAGGAGAGAAAAAGGAGTGATTATGGAAGAAGTGCTAATTTTTCAACATCTTCAAATTTCTAGGGCAGTTGTCAGGTAAATTTCCTAAATTTAATCATGTTGAAATTATGCAGATGTCAAGTTGGTTATTTTTAGCATCATCTGCTTCCATAGGCTTTTATGAAGGAGTCTACTGGTTTAATAATTGTATTTAAGCCTCTGTCAAATAAAGCAAACTCTGGAGGGATTTTTGTCTGCAACTATGAGCTTCACTTGACCATATGATTAGGGATATATTCAGTTAATGCTCACACAAAGGAAAAAACTGTTAGTGCTTTCTCTGTGAGTCTAATTGCCTCCAGCCAGGTTAATGATAGTTGGTAGAAAATTATAGAAGTTGAAACAATAAGAACTACCACTTCTTGAGCACTTAAGATGGTCTAGGTCATTTGCATTATTTTGTGTATCCAGAAAAGTAACCCAATAACGGAAGTGATGGCTTCCGCTCCCTGACATCCCTTTCACTGTATCTGCTTGGCAGACAACTCACACCTCTGCAAGAGCTTGGCCATGGCTCGGGACAGGTGTGGTCATGGGCCCGGGAACCTGGAGCCGGTTCTTAGGGCACAACGTGTGCATGACTCGACTACATTAGAGTCAGGCTTTGATCAAGTGGGCCAACTGATAGTGGACCAAGAAACACATACTTAGGCATTTAAGGTCAACAGAAGTGACTAAAACATCAGTTGGCTTGACGGTTCCAGCGTCTCATTAATGGAAGACAGCACGGCTGGCCTGTGTAATTTAGCTTTGAGCATGTAAATATTCATTTAACTGGAGATGGACCAGAGGATCGGGAAGAGAGCATAGCATTATAAAACTACTAGAGCTGTCTCATTTTTAGACAGGTTTGGTGGAACTGGGGAGGTAGAGAAGGAAAAAGAACGTGTATGGACGTGTGTGTGCGCATGCGCACATGCGCGTGTGTGTAGTATCTTCTTTGCTTATTTACTCTGCTTCCACTTGGACAACCTGGAGGGAAGTGCAGACCAGAAGTCCATCTTCCTCCTGAGGTGTAACCGGTCTAAAGACTTCATAGGGTTCATGGTTACTAAGTCAACCAGAGCACTTCCTGGAGAATTAGAGTGGGGGATCGTCTTGTTTCCCTGCGGCGGAGATGGAGATGACCCTCGACCCCTTCTCAGTCGCAGGCTGCAAAGAGATTCACTTCTTTGACTCTTGATACCCAGAGTACATTTACCAAAAGTGAAAATAATTTTCTTTCCCAAATGCCTGGGGACAGTAAATGCGCAGAAACCGCAGCTTGCCAGAGAAATGCGACCTGCCCTATAAAATCAGCGCTGTGGGCGAATAGTAAACATAAAAGTTAGTGTATTTTGGGACACATAAGAGCAAAAACACCACGGGAGGATGTTTTCTTCCTTCTATAAATACCTGCATCTCTTCAAGGCATTCGGGAGGCCTTGCGTCCAGAGCTGGCAGTGTGGGCGGCGCGCATCTCCACCTCAAAAGTTGAAACAAAAACAACACACACCTCACGGGGAGCAGCACCTGTCCGTGTCACACGCATGTTGTGGAAAATGTCCGCGGGGGCGGCGGCCTGCGATGCTCATGTGGGAGTCGCAGCGCCTGGATCTTGAGGTGCCGGCGAGTGTAGGTAACTCAGCCAGAAAGCCACACGCGCCCCGCTATTTATAGCTTCCCGTGGTGAAAAAGTAAAACCAAAGCGCGGCTTCTACCTGCTGCTCCCAACTGAAGCTAACAGAACGGATAAGACCTCCTTCTGGTTACCTTTGTAGTCTCAACGGACACAGTGACAGAAGTGATGACTGCGCGCTCGCCTCCTCCCGCGCGCACAGGTGAGCGAGCGGCCCTCGACGCCCGGCCTCGTCCTGGCCCGGAAAGGCCCGCGGGTCCCAGGCCCGGAGACGCACAGGATGCTTTCGCCGTGCTGTGTTTTTCAGGGGAGTTTATGATGTACATTCTCTTTCAGAAGCACCCAAGTCAACAGCAAGGGAGTATGTGAAGCTTTTGCGTCTCAGAACTTCCCCCCTCCTCCCTACCGCTTCAGTGCAAGCGCGCGCACGCGTGCACACGCACACAACCATACACGTGCACGCACACACGCACATGCACACGCACGCATACACGTGCACAAGCACACGCACAGAATTGCACAATCTTCACCAAAGACCACAAACAAAACCAAACCAGTACCGGATCAGAATCGTGCCTCACAAACGAGACCCCAGGGCCGCGGAGGAGGCAGCCCACTCCCTCTGGAGTTTCCTAGCGCCCAGCCTCCGAGAATCCAGGCACCTGGGTCTGGACGCACCCCTTAGCCTCGCGGGATGCCAGGGCGGGGTTTCTCAGGGTCTCGTTGGCAGCGAGAGCTCATCCCTGCTAGTACTGCTGACAAGAGCTCATGATCTTTGCAGAAGAGTCAGGACCCTGGGTGGCAGTGGGAGGGGGAGGGCTGGGGCGCTGCGCCCCACCGCGCGGCCCCCTGCGAGCTAGCGGGTCCCCAAGCCTGGCAGCTCCCCAGGCAGCGCAGGCGGTAAGCAGGAAGCTGCGGCCAGGGCTGAGTCGCTCAAAAGCTACTGGAGCTAATAGCTTGTGGTCAAGAGGAGAGCGGCAGCATCTCGGTAGTGATGGGAACACTCGCAAGCATCGTCAAAACAGTTGCAGAAACATGCTGAGCTCTGCACTCCTCGCGGGGCCGGCTGCAGCCGCGCTTGGACTTTGCTGGAAGCGGCTGCAGCCGGCCCCGCCCCCTTGCCCGTGTCCAGCCGGGGCCGGTTTTCTCCAGCCCGGGGGGGGAGGACGGGTGGGGGAGTAGGGGGGCGCCGAGCTGGAGGAGTGGGTTGCAAGTTTTGCGTGCGACAGGCTGTGTGCAGGGGTGCAACGTGTTCCCGAGCCCCCGAGCCCCTCAGGGTTGGGCAGCTTGCTTCTCGCCCCCCATCTCCGGTAGAAAGACGGCTTTCCCTGGTGTAGAGACGTGGGGCGATAACTGTGGGCCGCTCAGCGCCTCAGAATAAGTGCGTTGGGAAGCAGGCCCCTTCCAGGAGCCGGCCAGGACGTGAGCGCGGGACCAGCACAGAGCGGGGGTGTGAGTTGTTCACCCCCACCTGACTCTTTTTCTCTTTACCCGATGAGCGTTAGAACTACTCTCCACACTTGGGGCAACAAGGAAGCACCGGCCAGGCAGTGGAGAGCAGGCACTGTGGGCGTGAGGCTGGGCTCTCACCCGGCTGACAGGGGCAGTTAGTTCTTCCTGGTCTGCAAACAGGGCGACCTGTCAGCGTGGGATAGCGGGGAGCTCACTGCCCCTCCCGGCCAAAGGCCAACCCAAGTCCAGAGCCCAGCCCTGAGCCAGAGAGAAGAGCACAGAGGCAGCGATCTTCTCCGAGGTGTACCTGAGAATCCTGGCGGGAGGGTTAAAGCCTGCTAAATACATACATCGCTTACTTTATTATTTTATCTTTTTGTCTTTTAATTGTGATAAAAATAAACTTTACCGTGTTTACCCAATTTTAAGTGTTCAGAGGCATCAAGTACACTCACGTGTTGTGCAGGGTGCTTTTAAAATAATACTTAAAGGAGCTCTGTAAAGCTGGGTGTGGTCGCACACACAATCCTAGCATTCAGGAAGCTGAGGCAGAGGATTGCTGCAAGTTCGAGGCCAGTCTGAGCCACATAGTTCAAAGTCAGCCTGGATTACATAGTGAGACCCCCGTCTCAAGAAACCAAAAAAATATATCTTTACATACATTTCCATTGTATGTTTGTTCAAGCTTAGTCTGTACTTTCGCCCCCCTTCCTGCCAAAAATTGGATCCTTTACATTTGCAGCCTGCCCCATCACCTTGCCCCCGCTAAAGTTCTGAGTGTGTCCCCAAAATGAGAGTCTTAATGAAGCCACTTGGCTTGCGTCTGGACAGGATGGCTTCGGATCTTCCTTTCTGTCAACCTCCCTGTCCTTTCAAGCGCAAGGGAATTTGTAGTCAACAACCCGGATGTGCCTTGCTCTTGGGTATCAAGGGGAGGTGAGAAGATAAAGAGAAGTCCAATCCCTGATCTTGGTGTAGAGCAAATTGGAGCTCAGAACAGCACACCTCTCCCTCGCACTCCTGCTCTGACCTTGATCACAGATCAGAGGACTGACTGGCAGGAGTCGCTGCACCCGCAGCTCCAGCCCTGCTTTTCCACAGGGGCTGGGAGTGGGGTGAGGGTGTGCCTGGCTCCATCCTGACGCGGAGGGAGGAAGATGAGAGGTTAGAGAACCAGAGAGACCTTACCTCTTTCTTTTTTCTTCTTTGTCTTTTTTGGAGACAAGGTCTCACTATGTAGTTTAGGCTGGTCTTGAATTCACTTTGTAGCCCAGAGTGTCCTCGAACTCACACTGATCCTCCTGCCTCAGCCTCCCCACGGCTGGGATTACAGCATGCACCACCACACCTTGCAACACATCTTTTTTGAAAAAGGGATGAAGACGGAAAAATTTGAGAGTGTATGAAGTTGAATTTTTGTATTAAGATTTCTTTTCTTTTCTTTTTTTTTTAGTACCAGAAATCAAACTCACGATCTCACGCTTGCCAGGCAGGCGCTATTCCACTGAGCTATATTCCCAGTCTCTTTATTAAGATTTCTAAACGTAGCTTATATTGCTTAGATCTTCCAAACCTAAGAAGGCCTTAGGGACCTGCTCATCCAAACACCTTCAATTTGTTAAAAAAAAAAAAAGTGAGGTTGCTGAGGCTCACAGAGGCCGCATGAGCTTGGAAGAGACAGAGCCAAGCTGACTGCTGCTGCCAGGCAGTCTTCACTCACCTGCTTAGTGGAGCTCTACTGAGCACCTACTACAAGGCAACCTCAGTTCCAGGCCCAGTTTACCCACTGGTGGAGAAAGAGGCAAAGACTCCCTGCTCTTACTTAGCTTATGGTGTGCGGGAGCCCAAGCACCTTGAGTGTATTAACACATTTCACTTCTCGACCCCTGGGATGTTCTCATCCACATTTTGGAGGAGGCTGAAGCACAGGAAGGAAGTTGCAAAACTTACATTCGCATTTAACAGCCGGACTCAGGGGCGCATACTCTGTGATGAGGGTGGCTCATACACAATGGCTTGTTTACTCCTATGGCTTGTTTGACATTGTTTGACATTGTATGACAATATGGCTTGTTTACTCCTATGGCTCTATGCTAATGCCACCTGCTCAAAACTGAGTCCAAAAACCTCACATTATGTCCTATCACTTCATTCACCTTGCAAGAGACAGTTGACTGGGATCAGGACAGATACTTTCTGAGAGTTACTTCTTGTTAGAAATCTACTTCCTGCAGTCCGTATCTCTCACCAGGCAGGTGGAGTCTAGCTTTCAGTTGTATCACTGGAGTTTTACAAAGCACTTTCATACCCTTTCCTTGAGTTCCAACACAGTCCTTTACCTCTGCTTCACAGAGGTACATACCAGGCTCAGAAAAGTCAGGTGACTGCCCCAGTGTCGCTCAGCAAAGCTGGGACCCAGCCCAGGCCTTCGAAGCTTATTTCCTGCCAGTGACAGAAGCTCACTTAATTCAGAGAGAAGTAAATTGGCCCTTCCTGGATAACAGCAGATATTATGTACTTGTGCGGGACTGTCAGATGTTTGATTGGAGAAGAACAGTAGATTGCTATCTTCTACCTCAGTGAAGAACCTGATCCAGAGCTTTGCCTTACTTTCATTTCAAAAGCAAGTATCCATCTGAGAAGACAGGGAATCTCTAACTATAATAGTAATCTAGATTAGCGCATCTTTCTCGGAGAAAGTCTGTCTGATTTTTTCCCCCCTCACCCCATCAGAAGTAAGAGTTTTAGAGAAAAGACTTTAAAAAAAAAAAGAGAAGACTTCGTGTGGCTGTCAGTATGCTTTCTCACATTAAGCAAATTTATAGGAAAACTGTGGTAGAAAGTGATGGAATTTGGTCCCATGGGGAAACGTGCGGATGCTGGGGCATGGGCAGCCTCAGGGCTTCCTGGAAACGTGTTCGTGAGCTTCAGCGCAGCCCTGTTGTGACCTTTCCCTTGTCCTTCCCTCCTCCTGCCTTTATCGCTTTCCTTCCGAATGTTTTCCCACTAAGTAGGGCCATCTCAGACATAAACAGAAAGCATTTGACACCGTTCCCCCATTCAAAGTAAGAACAGCCTTATTAAGTCTCAGAGAGTATACATTTTAATATATAAAATATATTAACACAATATAATATTTTAATATATATTCTTGTAAGTATCTTACTGAATGGGAAAACAGCGAGAAATTTGAAGCTTTTTGGCTACTAAGATATTTCTATCTAGGCACATGATAAATAGGGAAAGGGAGTCACAAACTTTTCACTCTAAAATTAGATCACAGACTGTTTTGGGCAGCAGGTGTCTACTTATGACTTCAGTCCAGCAGTGGAAAAGGGACAAAGGCACTGTCCTGGTTGGGGCTGGGGGCGGGCTCTCTAGGGCATGTTCCAGGGTTGACTTTCAGTTACACTGCATGTGTAGGAAGGGTCCACCTGCGACCTCATGGCGGAAGCACATATCTCCTTGAGAACTATCTAGAACCCTTCAGAACAGCGAGGGCTGCGGCCTTTGGCAGGACTGAGCAAACCTCTCCTTGAGGGATAAGGCCTGGGCTTGCTTTCCGCAACCCCCAAAGTAAACTGGGTGGCGTTCTTCAAGCAGAAATGCCTCCATGGGTCCCCTCAAGCAGTGTCGTTCTTTTACTTATCAAAGCTATCACCAGTATCAGTAATGTACTTTTTAAAAATTGTGGCAGGAGAGCAGATCTCATGTTATGTGTTTTTTAAACAAACTTTTCAGTGGACACTACTGCACTGTTCACAGTGATCCTGTGTCGGATCCCAACCCTACTATGCATTCGCCTTGCCTCCCTGAAACTCTGTACCCATGAAGCAGCAGCTCGCCTGCTTCCTTCCCACTTCCCCAGCAAGCGCCACTCTATCGTTTGCTTCTGTGGGTTTGACTGCCTCAAATACCTCACAGAAAACAGTCTGGAGGTTCTCTTAAATCGATCAACCGATTAATCAA